TAAACTTCCTGAACAACTGATATCACAGACCACCACTGCAACTGCTGTGCACAAACCACATCTGCCACATCAACATCACAAGATGAGTTCCCCATCCTCCCACCTGGGTCTCCATCTTTCTAACACGAAGCAGTAATTTCTATCCAGATTGTTCTGGGTTACTGCAAATCATCAACTGGAATAATTTATGAAACCTTGATATTCTGATGAGTTAGATCCATTTCAAATACATTAGAATTGATAAGGATTTGATCCTAACATTGTATTGTATCTTGCTGGAAAGCATTTTTTGAGCCAGTAGCATCAGTAGAACAAATAAGTTTTTCATGCCATGTGCAGTAACAGGATTCCTGTTTAGAACTTAACAAAATCTGACTTTGCTGATATACTAATATAGATTTAATCAGCTAGGTTTAGCTTAATCCTTATTAAGACGTGTAATGACCACCCAGTGTTTTATCTCACACTAGGATTGTGAATGAAAGCTACTGCAGAAGAAATTCCCAAATGACCTCTAATAATTTTCTTCAAAATGGAAGAACATCCACCTGACCTTCATTTTTTTTTTTTTTGTAAATGTATCATTAGCATCTGTATACAAACATAAGCATCATGGTGTTTTGTGGAGGCAGATCTCAAAACTTTCATATTTAGGACTTAGAGCTATGAATTGGTCACTTAAGTTCTGCAATGACTGACTAATCTGGATTGCATTACTTAACTTCCACTGATCCTATTATGGATTTTAAGATGTGAATGCCATGCAGATCAGAATTATGCAACCTAACCTGCATAATACATCTATATATAATTCTTCTGCCACAGACTGAGAGTCCTGCTACACTCCATGGCCACTCCTGACCACCTCTTTCATCAGAGGTGTCACACATGTGAAACTGTTTCAAGGAATGGTGAACCAGAAGACTGGGCCAAATGTTTATGTTTGCTACATGTTTTGCCCCTGATGGTATTTGGTGAGTGATCTCTCTGCTGGACCTTATGGCAATGCACGAACCTTCAGTTATGTTTTCTCTCCCCAGTCCAGTTGCAGAGGGGAGTGACAGGGACGCTCTGGTGGGTGCCTGGTGTCCAGCAAGGGTCAGTCCACTACACTTACACAGATTTCTTGTATGTTACATGGCTTCCTAATAACAAGCATCACCTTCATTTTGGTTTAGCAGTAACAGTTGCCTCCCCCAGTTCTCATTTCAAAAGTGCCACAGCTGTGAAAATGTTACAGCAGAGCAATGGCATTGACATATAAATTAGTTTTTGTAAAGGGCGATTTAAGAGGTGTTTGATATAACAAAACATCAAATGCAAAGTAAAAATAATGATTTTAACCTCACTTGCCATTTTCCATACTGAGCATATCTTGTCTCTAGCTAAGGAGTCACCCCTGTACCCACACCAAAAAGTGAGTACATTTCAGCAGCTCTAGTGAATAGAGTAACAGAAGCTTTCCTTTTTAGAGGTAACTTTTCCAAGGCATAGAGAAGGAGGCCAAATTTCAACTCAGAAGACTTAAGTGGTCCAGATTCTAACAACACAAAGCAGAGGCACAGAATTTACAAAGACAAGGCCCCAAAACATGTGGTGGTTGGAACAAAAAGTAGAAATTGTTTGAGGTGTCTGAATGGTGACATATATGCCTAATTTGCCTCTGCCTTGTTTGCACAGGCAGGACTCACACATACCACAGAAATAAACCATTTGCATTGAAAACACTTGTTCACTTAATTCTGCTCAAAAGAATCGGAGGTGGAAAGCCCTGCTGCTCAGCAAAATAACACCAGTACTCCAGGACTGTGTTCTTCAAGCTTTCTAACCTGGACAGGAACATAAACAAACAGGATTTCAGAATCAAGACACAAATCAGAGCAGATTTTCTGTCCTCTTTAGGATATTCAGGTGAGGGGAGGGAAACTGCTTGCAAGACCTCTGCATGAGACTGCCTGCAGCAGTCGAAGGACCTACCAACATGTGAAGAAGCAGTGGGTCCTTCTCCCCTCACTGCCTCCACACAGAAAAATAGAAGCCCAGGATGAGTCTCACATTTTTCAGTTGACAACTGAATACACATTTTAATCTTAACAAAGAAACTCATGAAAACTTTAAGGAGACTGAAATGATTTGAAATTATTTGTGGTATATTAAAAACCAGTTCATTTTATTGAATTGCTGCTATGAAAATAATTTTAGTATTAAATATATTTAAAGAATTAGCATAAAACACACACACCTAGATTAATGATTTTGACAGCATTGTATCTCATTCTTCAGATGCAGTGAATAGAGCTAGACCACCATCTGACAAAATGAACTATTCTTAAGCTTCCCTGCACAAAATCATGTTAATTGACTTATCTTAATCAAAACAACAACTTACAGAATGTTAAATATTTCAACTTTAAAGCCAAAAGAAAATGGGAAATAAATTAGCAGGAAGTCACATTATCTTGCCAGTCACAAAACAGGAAGTTCTCTGAAAGGATTCCTATTACTAAGTAGAATATTATATTATGCCCACAGCTAAGTTTTAAACACTTTTCATGTGAAGCGTAAAATTATATAAAAGTGGGTTTGTAAAGTATTTTTAGTATCTGGATGAGGTTGTGGCATGAATAACTTCCATTTTTAAATGTACTCTCCTGAAAAAAGAATCAAATTTATAAAACAATTGGAAATTTCCCCCCCAAAGCCTCCTGGATAAAGAAGCAAATTTTAATATTGCAGATTTGAGATGTGTGCTGCTTGAAACATGTTAGTGTCTTCATCAGAGAAACTATGATAACAGTTCACTGTAATTGCACCATTAAGTTTATGGTAGAATCCTTTTATAGAAATATGGAATTTCAATCTCTAGGAACATTGCAACATAAAGTATCTAGAAATGCAACATGCCTTTCCTTGACTTCTAGGTAAGATAAAAACAGATTTTGTTTACAATGCTCTAAATAACCAAAATAAAAATCTGACTAAAACTATATATGTTTAGTGAAAATGAATGATTTCCTTAACAAATATGCTTCACAAATGCAATACTGCCCTGCTTCTGGGAATTCAAACAAATGATGCAAGTTTATAGTCTGGCCTTCAGTGATGTGAGGCACTCCAGATTCCCTTGAAACGGTGAGAAGTCCTCCCGATTTCCCATGTTCCTGTCTCTCTCTCTCTTGGGAAAAAGTCAAACCGGAGTGTGGGAATCAGACACATTATTATTGCCAGGGGAGTTTGCCCCATCCTTTTCAAACAGAAAGCGAGAGGAGGTCATTGCCACTCCTATAGTACCACCAGAGTAGGGGAAAAAATCTCAGCTACAGGAAAAAATGAAATGGGATCACAATTGACAGAGAAGGTTCTTAGAGAGCAGCTGTGAAAAAGTGAGGAAGAACACAGGAAGCCTGGGATAATGGAATGTGCATTGGGAAAGTCTTACAGCAGCAGCAGCACCACTATGTTTTGGGCTCTCCATGAAGTTTGGGCAATGAAATATATCAGTTGGCAAGCATGCATACAAAGACTAAGAAGGAAGAAATAAAAATCCAACCGACAGACAAAACCACAGTATAATCTTTTATTATAACTTAATTTACTTGATGGTCTGACTCATGATTTTTGAGTCCTCCGGGTTTGCAGCTCTGCTCCACTTTTTCATCAGATCAAGCGGCACATTTACAATGTAAGTTCCTGAAAAAGGATTTGGTTGCTGCTGCTTCTTGATTTCACTGCTTTCCTTAAATCAACTACAAATGCTTCCATTCCAGCATGCATTTAGAAAAAGGGACAACTCGAACTTACACAAACCCTCCCGTGCCGTCACTGCCTCAGTTACGGAAATAATTACAAAAGGGCCCCGCTTTTCCAGGTCCCCGGAGAGCACACTGGCACAGCCTCGCACGGCACGGCCGGAGCGGCGCAGCCCGGGCTGCCGGCACCGCTCCCGCGGCTCGCCGGGGCAGCCGCTCCCCGCCAGCGGGACCCGGGGGCTGAGGGCAGGCGCTCCGGGAGCAGCTATCGGCCAGGGGGTCCCGCTTCACCAAGTGCCCCGCGCTCTCCAGAGACGGCCGCACTTTCGCGGCTACGTTCACTCCCGCTTTAAAAAGTAGTCAAAGAGTGGGAGCCCAGCCCGCAGGCGGAGACTCCGACGCTCAGCCGCGCCTGCCCCGAGCCCCCAGCTGCTGCAGGCGCCTGAGCCGGGCCCTTCGCCACCGGCGGCCCGCTTCGTCCTCGCACTCCCGGGAGGCCCTCCCCGGCCCGCGGCAGCGGCCCCGGGGGTCTGCGCGGCCCCGCTTCCAGCAGGGACCGCCCGGCGCGCCGGGGCCCGGGAGCGGCGGCCCCGCGCCCTCGGAGCAGGAAGGAGCGCGGTACCGGGCAGCCCGCGTATCCCTCCGCGGCGCCGTGCGTGCGTGTGCGGCGGCGGCTCCTCGGGAAGCGCGTGAGGCAGCGCCAGGGGGAGGGAACTACTTTCAGGAAACTCGAGCGTCGGGCAGCGCCGGGCGCCGCGGGGAGGGCGGCGGCGCGAGCCCGTCCGGTGGCGGGCGCGGGTCAAGGGGATTACTTTCCTCCCCTCGCTCTTCCCTCCTCTCCCGCCTCCCTTTCCCCCGTGGTTATTTTGGATCAAGCTGTGGCGGCGGAAGGAGCCTGAAGTCAACGCTTCCGCCCAGTTTTCCTGTGAGGAGGAGGCGGGGGTGGCCGCGAGGAGCCGAGGCGGCGGCAGCGGCCGCTAATGGAGTTGTTGCCGGGGAGGAAGGGCCGCCGCTGAACTTCCCCGCGGGCTTTCTCCCTCCTCTCCCCCTCATCCTGCAGCCGAGAGCTCCTCTCTCGCCCTGGGAGCTCTGCTCCCGCTCCCCCTCCCTCCCCGCGCCTCTCCTCACACAAACAGCCGTGACGCATCCTCGCTCTCCGCCGTCCCCCCCCTTCCCACCCCCAGGCTGGTTTAAAACGCCTCCCTCCCCCCGTCGCCAGCCTTCTCCTTCGGGCCGGCGCGTCCTCCCTCCGCAGTGCTCGACGTCGCTTTGGAGGGGGTGGGAGATCTTCGTCGAGCCTCTCTGCCCCCCTTTTCCCCGTCCCTCCCCGCCTGCCCCGGCCTGTGGCGGCTCCGGTGTCTGGAGGAATTTCTGCCGCCGCCTGCCCCGGCTGTGCGCGGGAGGCGGGCGGGCAGGGAGGGAGGCGGCCGAGCAGCAGCAGCAGGAGGAGGAGGAGAAGAAGGAGGAGGAGGAGGAGGGCAGCAGCGAAGGCGGCTGCAGCGGGAGATGAGCTGCAGCGGGAGGACGGTGCGGTGCAGCTTTTTGCGGCGGGGAGCCCTCCCTTGTCTCCACAACTCTATCCCCCTCTAACTGGGAGCAGCTCGATATCAGAAGATCCGTGGGTTTTGCTTCTGTTTGCTTCACCATCACCACCATCATCATCGTCTCCAAAGACAGGGGAAATACGCTGCACCGCCGGACGTCAGGATTTCGGGTTTCCAGGATAAAGACCGCTCTCCTACTCCTTCCCCCCGCCCCTCTCCCTTACTCACCGCACGGCCCGTGCCCTGGCCGGGGGCGGCAGACCGGGGGTAACAATGGTGAAGTTTCTGGTGAGTTCTGGCTGCGCCCTGGCTGCGTCGGTGCTGCTCCGTGTGCCTGTCGGATCGTGGTGAGGAGAAAATGAGCGAAGAGACGGCGACTTCTAACGAGTAAGTGGCGGCGCTCCCCCTCCCCTCCGCCCCGGGATCGGAATGGGGATGGGGCTCGACGCGTCCCTTCGGCTCCGCGCCCCGCGGGGCCTTTGCCCGCGCACGTACGGGTGCTGTCCTCCCCCTGCGCGGACTGCGCATTTCTGCTCGCGTACATGGAAGCCCAGAAGCTCCCTCTTTGTGAAGGAGCTTGGTTTGGAAGGGCTACGAGCCGCCGGCCGGAAAAGCTTGGTTTAGTTAAAGCCCGGCAGAAAACGGTGCAGGTGACGATGGTGTCTTGGAGGGGGAGGATGGGTCTGAAATGCCCAGAGAGGTGTCGGCACGTACTACCTCCGAAAAAATCCTGTTACTTGTAGATATTTCACATGGAAACTAGTGTGTGGGAGCTTCATCCTGCAGGAAACTGCTCCTGAATTTTAATTGGATGAGTCAGTCCGTGTAAATACAGCTTAAACCTACCCTAAAGCCCTTTTTTCCCTTTCTTTTTTTTTTCTTTTCTTTTTTTTTTTTTAATGAGCACTTGGGACTTTTCCCCCCCTTCCCTTCCTCCCTCCCCACCCCCAGAGAGGAAAGGGATAGTTCAAGGATCTCTTAATATTTTTGCTGTGACTGGTTTGGAGGAAATTCAGAGGAGATTGTGTGTCTGTGCGGCTGTATTCCCTTGCATGCAATCAGTCTTTGAAATACATTTGGGTCGGAGGGGGTAAATGTTTGTCAGAAAACATTCGCGTTCTTTATGGCGTTGAAACAGGAATATAAAGTATTTTGAAACTTTTCTTGTGATCGGGAAGTTTAAAGTTGATTGCTGCGGTCTCCGAGCCGTCGCGTTACGATTTGCGATGTCGGTGTTTGCTCGGTCTGATTTTATGAATGATGCGGTGACGGCCGCGGCCATGGCGGTGGGGAGGGAGCGCGGCGCCCATTGTATCTGTAGGTAGCGGTGAGCGGCCGGGGAGCAGCCGAGCTGACAGGCGGGGTGCGGACGGGGCTCCTCCGGCAGGAAAGATGGATTTCCCATTTCACTGCCGCCTTCCGAGCCAAGCCTGCGCACCTTCCCGTGCGCTCCCCGAACGCGGCGTTCGGGTCCCCGGGGAGCGGCGCGGGGGCCCCGCGGGGAGCGGAGCCCGGCGGGACGCGGGGCTCGGGCGCTGCCGCCCGCGGCGCTGAGCGGGCCGGGGGCAGCCGGGCCGGGGGAGCCGCCGCGGCGCCCGCGGGGCCGGGAGCCGGGGCCGCCGCCGCCGCCATGTTTCCTTTTTTTTGTGAATCGCTCTCATTTGCATACCACAATCTCCATTCATAAAAAAAAAAAAAAAAATTGCGAAAAAAGAATTGCTGTCACCACCGCTGACCTGCGGCGGAACCTGCCCTGCCGAGCGCACGAAGCGTCTGCTCCCGGGCTGAGGGCCGGCCTGCGGCCCGCGGCCGGCGGCGGAAGGTCTCCAGGACCTGCTGTATTAATATGTGCTGTTCGCTGCTTGTTGACACAGTTATGTGGGAAATATCAGCTCGGGGAGGTGCTGGGAGCACGTGATCAGCTCCATTCATAAAATACCTGGCTGTCCATTCACAGTGCAGTACAGTGTCTGCATTCAGCAGCCTCGCAGATCAGACCTGCATGGGAAGGGAGAGACAGCCAGGCCGGCAGGTTTATCGGAGAGGGCAGCAGGAAGAGGGCTTATGGCTGCGAGTGTGGGAAGTCGCTGTAAAGGGAGATGTGGAGAGACGAGAAAGGCTTATTTTTATGGTTTGTGTTTATCCTTTTCCTATAAAGGAGCATGAATTCATCAGTACCTTCTCGCTGTACCATCTTACATTTAAACTAGGAAGAGTTTTATTCAGAAAAGTTAAAATATTTTCCCCTTCATGAATAGAGTCAAAAATAGAATACTGAAAATCAAATTCATTATTGTGAATGCATTTTCGAGACAGGGTATTAATCCATTTGAAGTAATTTACATTTTATTGATACAGCCTTACATCTGCAAGAGATCAACATGGTGCAGAAGGAAGGCAGTCATACCTAATGAGGCATCTGAAAATGTTCCCTACTATAAAATACAGGTGACAGTGAAAACAGATAAATTGATAGAAATCAACATTGCAATTTATTTTTCTGTCTGATTATTCTGAGAATTTTGCAGCAGATTAGCAATTGTAGTTTCTCCTTAACCTGTCCTGTGGCTAAAGAGACCTCTGAAATATCAGAATACGAGGAATGCTTTTAATATGGCAGAAATTGTTTAGAGGGCAATGTATTATCTTTGATTTTAAATCTATTGAAATTTAAAAAAACCCACAGTGAAATTTACTGATGAAGGATCCTCAGAACAGACAGTGTATTTTTCTGATGTAACTGTTTTGTGGTTGCCAGTGTTAAAATGGTGATGTTCATTGCTCATGAGTATGCTTTTTCATTATCTTAACAAATTACACTGAGATGATCCTTAATTATATATCCATGGAGTGGAGGAGGCTTGTTGTTAGTACAGCCTAAGAGAATATGTGGAATATTACTAATCTTTACTTAATACAAGGAAGGAAAGCTCATATACCGTATTTGTTTTGAAATTTTTCAATGGTGCTATAGGACTAAATGTGTTCTTATATAAATACCTTTAAAAAGCACTATAAACGATGCTTTTTCTTAAAAAAATACACAAGGGATTTTGTTGGTTTGCTTTTTTTTAATTCATGTGTTTAAATATTAGAAATAAAATAAGAAAAATGTTTCTCAGTTGCTTTGCTTTTTTTGACAGCGTTTTTGGTGTGGCCAGAGTCATAATTTCTCTCTGGTTGCTTTTGCACATAGCACACGTGTGTCACTTCAAATGGCTGGGAAATATGATTGAAATTCCAGATAAACTGTTAGTGAAAATAAGACAGATGTACAAATTGAAATTCGTACATTAGGAGTTCACTGTGTTTAATTCTATCAGTAGAACTGATGGCATCAATGGCCTTGAGTTCATTAACAGACCTTTCGGCATAGAAGAGTGAATCCGGGTACTTTGCAATGCATTTTGTGTCATTGTAGCTACCGGGAATATTCTGGTGATTGAGCATTATTCTTAGTTTATAAAACTACATTTTACAAAGTCAGATATAAATACTTGTGGTGTCTGGAGTTTGACCTCAGTTAATAATAAATTCTCAGTGGTGGTGGGAAAGATTAATTAAGAAGCTACATTAAGGACTAGTGGGTTTCTTCTCGATCATGAACATATGGAAGGCAGCCTTATAAAATTCTGATTACTACAGATGAGTCTGCATTGGTGATTTTTACATTGTTCTTGTAATGTTGTTATTGTATTTTTCAGTTAGGTATTAGTTAAATGAAAGTATTTCTATACCTCCAGATAATTTTATTCTTTTTCTTCCTCAGTGATGTTTTGCAGTCAGGATGGTCAGCATCAACACAATATATTCCCAAAGCCAATCAGTTTTTAAATGAAGGAATTAGGATTTTTGAACTCATGGGTCAAATTGCTACTCATGCAACTGAATATAATAATGTTGCAGGAGTCACGTCAGTGAGCACTATTCCGAGTTTCTCTTTTGGTAGCCAGTTTTAATTGCTGTCTAGAAATGTGTCTGAATTTCCATGTTAGGGAAAACAGAATGGTTGTTGTGCTGTGTAGCCCTCATTCAGCAGGGGTGAATGATGACAGGCTTAAGATGGAGTCGTAGTTGCTGCAATCGAAAAGTAGCAGCCCTGCTTTGCTGGCTTGTTTACTTTCCTCTCTATTGCAGGTGGCCGCTTTTATTTCAGGGAATGCTACTGCTCTCGAATCATATTTAGAGTTGCTTTTACATATTGTATTTTTTACAGATTCAGACTGTCACATGCTGATTGTTTTACCACATAAATATACTCATTTTCATAGATAATTTAGTTAAAGAGCTTGTAAATTAAACACACTATATTCTAATGCTGTGTGCTTAACAACATCAGGTTATGGTGCTGTAAACATCCTCAAGTGCAGATTTGAAAAAGTAAAGGTGAACAAAATTTTTAAATAATGTATTTATTCATACCTTCCTTTAATATATATGAAAATACTGTTTGTACTTCATTTGTACTTCAGACTTGTATAAAATTTGTCTTACAAGCCTAGATACTGAAAGCTGAATGTGAAATTGTATCACAGAAAGTAATGCCTATTAATTTGGGCTTATTACTTCTGGGAGGTTTTTAACACTTTTTGGCAGGCTGAATTTCTTTCTGCAGTTCAGGGCATATATAGACTCTGAAATTCTTCATCCCTTAATGAAAGGAATTTGTAAATAGAACTTTTTTTTTTTTTTTTTAAGGAAAGGATTTTCTAACCCAGTTGATTATATTAAATCATTGCAATTCTGATATGCTTTCATTTGAGGGAAGGTTGCTTATGTAGTCCTTGGGAGGCTTTTCCAGTCTTATGAAATGTTTCTTGCTGTCTGTTTGGCTTTATATTGTATGACACTATTTTGAAGGTGAAACTGAATTTGCATGTTACATAATCTGAGAGTCAGTTGGGGGGGGATGGGTATTTTTACTTTTTTCTTTCAAAAAAAGGTTCACCCTAGCAACAGTCCTTGATTACTGTGATATTGCAGAAAAATGCTTTTGGATGTTTCAGTAACTGGAGCCAGCAATAATATTTGAATTCAAGAATGCCGAGTGTTTCCCTTTGTTCATTTAAAATGTAATGCTCTTGATGTGTTAAAGTGGCTGTGAAGACATCAGTGTGATTTTTAAAAGTAAAGATGTTTCTTGAAAAGAATATATCCTGACAGGATCAGAAGTCACAGGATTAAAGCTGAGGGCAATCCTGGTACATTTGGGGGTAAATGCTGGCAATTTTGTTTATTTACTCATTCTTGTGTATATCTGGAGAAATTTCGTCTATAGGTGATCATTTAATGGCGTTGTGACAAATACTAGAAATAAAAAATACTCTTCAGAGTATTAGCACAAGTTTAAAAAGGAGACAAAGGAAATAATTTTGTCTTTTTTGGTT